ACTAGATCTTCCCAGTCGATGTGTTCATATGTTATGTGTTTGTTAGCGGAGGTGGTTAATGGTGGCGTCATAGCTCAAAGTTCAGATCCCGGTGTGAACCTTCCAGAGTTTTCATACCTTAATTTGAAAACATATCCTATGGCATTGTTTGTAGGATGTTTCTTTCTTCCTGGTCAAGACCGTAATCTCAACTGAAGGTTAATTCCTATGTATAAGGAAAGTGCGACTCGTCAGTGGTGAAGTGATGATTCCTGCTCAGGGATAAGGAGCGATGAATTCGCAGTCAGTAGTTAGCTGATCAGTCTTTTATCATCGCAGGTCAGCAATCTGTATCCGACTACCGTAATACGTGGGACGACGTGTGGCCTTAAATTTAGTGGATTCATGTGTGCGTATGTATCTAAGTGTGCCCTGCACGCAGCCTCTCATTGATATTCGTCGTCGTCGCGCCCGCCCATGGTGAACGCCCTGGCTCACAGCCAGCGTTATCGACTCCCTCACCCCTACCCACACACAGACACACAGGGAGACAGACGACTCTTCCCGGTCGATAACGAGTTCTGTGTCGACGTTTTCGCCCAAGTTTTCCTTCTGGTTGCGTGTTTCTTGATTCTACCTCATTCATCTTCTTCTGCGTTGTCCTTTTGATAGGAACTGTTGAATCGCCGTGTGATCAACTCCTTTTCGCGCACCTGTTCGGGTGAAGGTATGTAAATGTTCGTCGACGGGCACGTCGTCACGTACTATCGTTTACTGTAGATGCAATCGATGCCTGCCTTTCGTACTCGCCCGATGGCTTGTTCGGGAAACGTTGGCCATGTTCGCTTTTCGGAGTTGGGAATCAGTGTTCTACGAAGAACGGTAGTAATCCAGTTGTTGTACCATTGCCATAAGTGTCGGAGTATGTCACTGCTGTTCCCAAGTATTCCCTCATGCCTGCCTTGTTTTCTTAGCAGTGTCTGTTGTGATCTTCTCGTTCTCGTGGTAAAGACATGAAATCTTGTTCACTTGGAAGAAGCCGTAACTAGAGCGAGGTATATGTGAGTTTTAGTTGGAGAAAAGCGTTCACCATTGTGACTTGCGGCTTCGAGTCTTCGCACAACTACGAATCGATTGCGGAGCGCGTGTATGCGATTTTCAAATGCAGCAGGGTGTCCTGTGACGGACTGCTGCAAACTGCTCAAAGTCAGGATGTGTGAACAAAGTTCTCTTTATTATCCATTGCTGCTGCGTTCATCTGAGTTTGTAAATCGTTTGCATAAAACTGCAGTAGGTCGCAAAACAACAACAAGCGCCTAGATCTTTGTCGGTATCTCTATCGATAGTCAGTTATGTGAAATACTACTGTCTTTTAGTTCTAAGAACTTATACTTGTAGTATTTGTTCGACAGGAGTAAATTTTGACAATGATTCGGCCCACAGTGAGAACTTGAGCTTTAAAGCATATGTGTGAATGCAGGATTGATAAGTATTGGCCAGCACTTGCCAACGGCAAAGCGTCCGAGAGCAGTTTAAAGGTCAGACCTGCATGAATCTCAAGCATCACTGGCAATGTCACGCCAAAAAAATGCTGTTGATGAATGTTCCAACTCCTTGGAATTTCCCTTCCAGATGATCAACTTAGAATCGCGAGCAGGAAGCATAACGGTTGAAACCTTGTTTTAAGTGGGGCTATTTCATGTAGGTTGTGTTGTTAATATTATACTTATTAACAACACATTCAATAGAAAAATGAAAGATAGTTTGTGCATCTGGTTCATCCCACTTAGCCACTGTCCCATGTAGATCCCTCTAGGCATTAGCGGCTGAGGCTGACAGGTTCTCCTCGAAACACGACCAGACAGCGCTTGTTGAATATAATATAACTGGCACTATTTGTCTCCGATTACTGAGTGACCCTAACCAGGAAAGTCTTTCAGGACATGGAGCGCTTTTTCAAAACGGTTTGTTGCATGTTATAGGGGCATGTGCGTGGAGCATAAACTGATGATCATTTTTTCTGAGCGGCCCTGGATTGCCAGAAAAAGGGCAGAAAATTTTCCTTGAGAAGTGAAACTTTTCCATTTTTAATAAACTCTACAGCATTTGTAGAGTTGAATAGTTGCATTTTGGAAGCTTTTTGTTCACTGAATAAGTTTAGACATATATGAGCCCAAGAAAGTGGAAATCAGAGAAATGCAAAAATTTGTCCTCAGTGGGGATCGAACCACAAGCCATGGTTTACATGTTTTTTTAGCATTCCCAGAGCCGCTCAGGAAAAATTATTGTCAATTTTATGCTTCCTGTGCGTGTCTCTATAACATGCAAAAAAAACTTTTGGAAAAGCTCCTCATGTCCTGAAAGACTTTCCCGGTAAAACCTCAGGTAGAATATTCCTAAAAAAAATCTCGCGTGAAGAGAATTGTGTTCACGATTCCCTGATTTGATGTTGGGGAACAAAATCTGCATTCACGTGTTTTCCACTGCTGTAAGAATCAGTTGTGCAGAAGTGGTGAAGATTTTGTGATAAACAACGTTAGGTTTGTCGTTGACAGTTGGAATCGATTGCGGGATGAGTGTGCAGTTGTAAAGAGAAAAGTGACTCCTCCGGGAGCGGAAAACAATCGTTGCAACCGTTTTGGGACCACCCAAGCAGGTGCGTTCGCGTGTATGTTTGTGCGTGTAGGTGTGATGGTCGCCGTCGTCGTTGTCGTTGGGGGTTATCGCCAGGCAGTACCGACCTTGTGTGAGCATTCTTTGCATTAAGGTCGCGACCACCGTGCGCCCACCCACTGCACGTCCGCGCCCGCGCCCATCGATCTGTTTTGTCAACGGCCGACGATTCCACAGTCAATACACGCGTCCCAACACCACCCCTGTGTGACTGGTTGATGACGACGTCGTCCTCGGTATCGTGGCGGTGAAGACGAGCTGCTGGTGTGTGGATGCTCGCATTTTAACCGACCTTGTCCATGGGGTTCACGCACAGAAGGGTCGAAGACAGTGGGCGCCGGTAGTACCATGCTGAATAACTGGAATTAATTTCCGATTCATTATCGCCTGTCAGATCTGTCGTTGTATTGATTGCTGTTTCGTGCTGCATTTGCTTTTTTCCGAATACTTTCATCGCTTCCTTCTTCTTTATGGGATTGGGGAATTTTCCAAAATTCCTGTTAACTTGTGGCTTCCTAAGTGAATCTTTTCTAGTGAAGAATGAGCAGCAGTTGCTGATAGGTAGGTGTTCTCGGCTTGGGCATCTCTGTTCATATGTTTTTTATTGGTTGTACTGTACACGTGCACGTTGGGAACCGTGTCTCTCACAAAAGTTTTTCGAGTTTAGCATTTTTCTCGGACATGAAACCCCGCTCTCGATTGACGGGATAGCAAACGTATTGCGAGTGTCTTATCATCACGACTGGTGGCCGATTATTGATTAATGACCGTGGCCGGGCTCGCTCCAATCCATCTGCGCTATCAATCGTGCGAGCGTTGTGCGTAGAGTCCTTTATACTTTCTGATTGGACGGTTGACAGGGTGGGGGGAGGGGGGAGTTGAGTAGTGCAGACCAAAACTGGTAACCTGTCCTACGTCACCAAGAAAAGGATATGTAGAGAAGGCAATTCCCGTCTCACTTCTGCGTTGGCGAATGGCTCAAACCATTTACTTGCTGTACTTCGTATCGGTGTAAAATGAAAGTGCAAAGCCAAATAGAACAAGGGGAGGCTGGCGATGGTATCTGTACATTGTGTTCCAGTCGCTTCTTTCATTTTCGATCCGTATTACCTTTACTTGAGTAATCAAATTCTCTAAAGCTTACCAATTTCCTCGTCTTCTGCCCCCCCCCCCCCCCCCCATTAATTTCGTTCTTGGGCTCTGCTGAGAACACTGGGTCGGGGGAGCGGGCGATCACATTTATGCATGTTAATTGTTCTCATTCGTATTTTTAGCTTTGTTTGCTAGTTGAAGGTGCTTTTTCTGAATTATGCATAGCTGGACGTCGTTACGAAGTGATTTCTGGATTTTACCGCCCGCAAAATGTTCTTGGCCCTCCTTGAGCTAAATTGTGGTCTTTCATGTCAATAAAAAAGTAGCTTTGATGGAGAAAGCTCACTAGCGTCATGTAATACTCGATTGCTCTTTTCTGGTACAGAAATCGAGGGAATTCTACATAAGAGAAAGATGCCGATCAACTCAAATGCGTAGGCTTGTCCTGTCTAATATTTTCCGCCAGCAGCCAAACAATTGCTACACTACACGTACTTTTAAACTCTATTTGGCCGCCATGTTTGTACTCCAACAGTGACAAATTGTCCATACACCGCGCTTCGGCTGCTTTGTAATTTTCGCGAGTTTTTATCAAGGTTTTGAGATTGCCATTCATCTTTCCACATTTCTTTGAATTTATCCAAATTTATCCGAAATTTGTTCCTTTTTGTTATTTTGGTTGAGAGAAGGGTCAATTTCTTGGAATGCATCTCGTTTCCCTTGAGCCTACCGTAATCCATCCTTTGTCTTGATCGTATTAATAGAAGATGTTTTCCGAAAACTGCGAATCTTCCTCGTAAGATCTCTTGTCAATGATATCCAAAAATTCTCACTGCGGGCTCATCTACTGGTCGGGCTAACACTTGCTTGAAGGCTAAGCCATAATTCTTCATAAGGACGAATATCTAAATAAAGCTCGAACCCCCACAGAATTCTACAAGACGTTGAATAGTAATAGTCAGGAGTGGTGTTTTGCAAAATCGTAAATTTTGAGGTCCAATTACCTTTAATGAATTGCAGATCGTTTGATTAAAAAGAAGCTCATCAGTCGATCTGCTCGCTTTATGCCATTCTAAGTGGCGGTAGTTTCGTGATGATCTACCGTGGATCGGTGAAATTGCCGTTCATATCTGAAGTCCTTATCAGTTTGACGTTACTTTGCAACAGTATCGCGGTGAGTGACTGTTCTCTTTGTAAGGCAGTTTTTTTACATACATGGAAGTTCGATATCTTAAATCTTCTTTCAAGGAATCGCGATGAAGGAGATGCTTGGGGGTTGTTGTGTCTGTGCTGATGAGAACGGCTGGACAGACAATCCATTAATATACTGTGATGGGCCTGGATGTGAGGTGGCTGTACACCAAGGTAGCTAAAATTTTCTGTGGTTCTTTTTCTTGCATTTGCCCAGAACTCATTTTAAAATGCAAATACGGAAAGCCTGGCATGTGCTTATGAATATCGGCTTCTTTCACTTTAGTCGTGTTATTAAACTCAAGTATAATCACAACGTTTTGTGGTAATTCATCTGTGAAGTAATCTTCAATAAAAGTCGTACACAGACGTCAGCACAGTAGGGGTCTGAGAGAATACGGTAGGGGCATTGTCGCGACCAAAAAAACGTCGTTGGCTGCAATCGATTGGTGCGCGCAGTGAAACAGTTTATGGCATGTCACGTGGCCCTCAACGTCAATGACTGCACTTTTGCTTAGGCTGTTACGGTATCCAGGAAGTGCCAGAGGGAGAATGGCTGTGCGCCAAATGTCATGTTGCTGCTACAACTTACACAAATGGGGAGTTGAGTCGCAACGGTCCTTCAAATGGTGTGGGCCATACCATCAAAGCGCGTTGTGAGCTGTGCCCGTTCAGCTACGGAGCGCTCAAACGGACTGAACAGAAGGGTATGTCTACTGCTTATTCATGTTTCCATTAACCCATTGCGGACCACGTGGTACACATAATGCACACCTCTCACACGAATGGGTTTTTACTTGGTTTATCCATTCATTTACCTTTATGAAATTATTGATACCTTATAAAACCGGGAAACGATATGTATTTGCTACTATTCATTGACTTGTTCGTTCAGTAGCGATGTGAAACAAGAAAATGTGCCGCTTCACGCGAACTGCGGCGATCCGCAATGGGTCAGAAACCATAACTTGTTCGTCTAAGTGTGCTTTATCTAGGCTGGGCTCATGTTATTTGTGCTCTTTATATTCCTGAAGTACGATTCGGTGATGTTCATAGTATGGATCCTGTCATTTTATCCGATGTGCCCATGGAAAGGTGAATTTTATTCATTCTTATTCGCTACTTAACCAACCCATTCTACTTGCGGCCTATTTAGATTTTTTGAGTGTGATAACTGGAATTTAGGTTTGAGAAATTGTGCTACATTTGTGCAAACGCAGGCGATTCGCGAGCTGCCCAGATGGGGGCGTGTATGTCATGTAACAAACCGGGCTGCAAGGTGAACATCAAGCGGAATACCTTTTTTTTCTACCAAAAACGTGCACTTGCGATTTTTTATAGCGAGGATTCCACGTAACCTGTGCACAACAGCGTGGTCTACTTTGTGAAGAAGGAGGTGGTAGCAAAAATGTAAAATACTGCGGTTATTGTGAGCACCACCTTCGGAAGGCGGTACGTTATATTTTTGTTTCCTTTTCCTTGCTTCTGCCCTGCTTCATGCGTTATTTCGTTTACTGTGGCATTTATTACCTTATTGATTAGTTTATAGCTAAAACTTGACTTCCCATACTACTTTCTCAGTATCTTCAATGGCTCAAGGCTATGCTGCGCTCATGAAAAAATACTTGTAGGAAAACCTAATCTGGCTTTTTCTGTGACGTCTCACTGAGCGTAATTTCACGAAGAATACGTTGTTTCGTCCTCGTCGTTGTTGTATAAGCGCAATGTGACCAATTGGCAGGGGTTACCTGGTGTTGAACGCGTGCAAATTGTAAACAGCAAAAAGCAGGAGGCGCATCGTTAAGACTCGGAGCGGGGAAATCGATCGCTTCTTCCAGATAGATGTGGCGGGCTCAGCTAATGATAAAAGGTTCGGGCACAGGCGAAGCACTTATTATATGTTGTGATAGAAACCTAGAGAACACCAGAAGGCGTGAGTGTCGGCGTCGCCTTTTTGAATTTTTGTGTGGCTGTTAAAATTTGGCGTGAACCCCAAATTTGAGGTTTCTGGTCGGTAGCGTCAAGAGTTCTTATTTCTCGGAATGATGTTCATGTTTTTAAGCTTCACTTAACGTTCTCAATTCCCAAGTTCTTGGTTCCTGTGTTTTTTCATGTCACTAATCGATACATGTGTACCAATTCACTGCCTTCCTAGTTTCATCTGCTTTGCCCGGACATATTCAACCGAACTGATAATTGAAAGTTGTTTGGAAGTTATTTCCCTTAGCACGTCTATGCACATGACATTCCACTCAACTGTATGTTCTATGCAATTACTATTTCGTTCCAATGTCGTAGTGATACAATGGTGTCGATAAGATAAGTTTTATCGGCTTTCGTTCTGCTCTGCTATGGGTGTTGATGCTTAGTAACATATAAATCCCTCGGAATAATGCGCCATGAAGTGTTTTGTTTCTATATTCACATCCGCTTGCTTCCTTAGAGTCGTTAAAAGCAGGTTTGAAAAAGAAAATCGAAGCCAAGCAGGTTAAGTGCAGAGCTCTGATCGGAATATGCGTATAAGTTTCAGAAACACCTCCTTTTCTGACATCTATCATCCTCCCTCCACCTCCTGAATTCTTCCTTGATATGCTTTCTTTTATTTTTTTTATAATTCCTTCGTTCACTGCTACGATTGATCGCATTGCGGAGTACCAATTTTTCAATGTGAGCAGAAGGACTTATAACATGTGCATGTGGACCTGCAAGCCATCGTAATTAATTTCTCTGTGACTTGTTGGCATATCGTACTGACTGTGATAAATTATTGCTTACTGGCAATAATTTTACTTACCCAGCTCACATCACTGCCAGAATTGATTCCTTCATTTTTAAACGTAAAGATTCTCTAAACTCGGATTAGATTGGTGTTTTCTCAGTGCGCCTTTGATGCCAAAACGTTTTCTTTTTTGGTGTTTTGATGAGCTATAGAAAAATATTTAGCTACACAATTGGCCAGATTCTGATGGTAAGCTTATATTCAAATTGTTTGACACTAGCTTTGCGATATATTGGGAACACAATCACAAGTTATAGGATACGTTTTGTATGATAGGAACAGATTAAAACGTGTTCATGGGCTCTTCGTTCACAGGTTCCATTTACAAAGCTAATCGAACCAAGCTCATTGAGTGGACACTATGGACAGGCGCGTGCGCTCGTGTGGTGATTTTGTGAGACGAGCTGCTCTGTTGCGCGCTGATCGCCTGGCCGTCCGGCTGGTCGGCGGTCGGTCGAGCGGTGATGAGCGCTGAGACGGTGGTAGCGTTTGTTGGCGGCGAAATCGATAGTTCTCCATGGCTGTCCGTCGTCTCCGCTCGGTCGTCGCTGCCGCCGTCGTCACCGCTGCTCGCACCCCTCACCGCTGGCTGCTGTCTGCATCCACGCCGGCCAGGCCAGCCCGCCCAGGCCGTCGACGCGAAGCCTCTTGTGCTGCGTTTCAATGCGTCGTCTCCTCTGTATCGATCGCGCAACCATCTTATTCGCCGTTTTACACTCTTATAGCATAAGCGAATCTCGTTCTCAACGACGACCGCGACGATACGCGGTCGCCGTCAGTGCTTGTTACTGCGTCACGTTCTTCTGTTTTGATGTTATGATTCGGATACGCATTGCGGCACTTCTGAACTTATAAAGCGTTTTAGTTCCGAGACATATATCCTTTCCATTTTCTTTCCGTGTGCGTTATTTCACTTAGCTTTAATATCATTCATCCTCTGAAATAAAAACCCGACAATTTAGCGTGCCTTCCATTGACCTTAGTTCACTATGTCTTCACTTCAGGCTAACTTTTGTTAGTCGAGATATTCATATGCTTTTCTTTTGGATTACGTGAATAGAGTGGAGCACTCCGTTTGAGGTGTCAAGTACTAGCTGCGGCAACGAATCAATAAGTTGACGGTGTCGTAAAGGCGAAGGTGCGATAAGGGATACATGCGACGTAGAATTTAGAGGGTGCTGGAGCAGAAACGACAGGGCCGATAGGTTTTCGTACATTACTGGCTTGACTAGCCGAACACTAAACTATCCACCTGCATAGGTCTTTGTCGTTAGAGGGAGTATGTTTGTTCAATTTGTTTACTTTACATTTGTTTGATACGCTCAATTCATAGCGGTCTCATGTAGTAGCTGACTTTGATTTAGTTGGGCTCGGCACGCATGTGAGTTTAATCGCCGCTGATCGAGGTCGGGTTTGGCTGAAGTTTAATACGAGGCCCTCGTCTCGTACGAGCGCTATCTCGTGGCCAGGTGATGGTGGTGGTGGCGGCGTCATCGGTTCGATTTGCGCCGATAAATCGGTCGTCCTCGTGTAAGGGGTGTGTGCGTGCGTTTGTCAAACTCTGAGTGAAAATTGAATGATGCTCCAGCACACTACGCCAGTAGGCAGCGGCCACATTTTACAATCGGGGCACCACGCGGTAAACTTTGTTGATCGATCGGTCGTTCGAGGACTGATTGGCTGGCTGCTCTTTGTCGATCGTGAATGGCGGTGGTGGCCGAGCGCGAGTTGTGTTTGTGTGTGTGACATAGCATTCGCGGTGTTTGCGCTTTATCGACTCACTCTCCTCAACGATCCCCTAGTCGCATCTCTTTTCGCGTTCTTCTTTTGCGTTCTCGCGCTCAATTTCATGTCTCGTCGGCGGTTCTTCGTTATTTTCTTAAACGACGCACTTTTTTGAACAGCGCTCTATAGGTGACAGTCAAACAGTTTTTTTCCACGGATTCATGAACGGACAATGATTCTGCAGTGCAAATAAATTTCCACCCCGAGTTGAAATCCATGCGGACGCTTCTACATTCATTACTGTTCGATTCAACTTAACACATGTTCTGCAAGTACCGTGCTAAGCAATAGGCTTTCTTGAAACGTTTCTGGGTGGTCAGATCGAGTAGTTGGATTGTGTGAAGTTGTTGTAACAGGAGTTTATTTCATTGATGGAACACTAGGTGCTATCGTGCTGCTTTCAATTGACGAAGCCAGCTCTTTAACGTTTTTATTAGACCTGCATGTTCGCATTGGAATACTTGCAATACGCACCATTTCGCTATTTCCAATATGTAATTACTGTTGTTCCAGCATAGCATTGTTTCGAGCAATCATGCGAGCGCAGTTCGTAGATCCCAACTGTGCGTTTATACTGTACCGAATTTCCTGGTTGGTTTGCCAAGCGCTCTGCAAGGGCTGAAGTGCTTTCTTGAGGACAATGCCTTGTTGAATAAAGTCGATCCTTACAAAATGTGGATGGACGCGTAAATTTATGGAAAAAAAGCATGGTCCATGCACGGTACAGAGCTTTATGAAGAACTCCACAATTTAACTCCCTTCTCATTTCCTTTTTGGCCACTTTATTGTCAAGAAATCGTTCATCTCAGTACATATCTACTGCTCATCATAATGACACTTTCACCTGCAGTTCTACGGAGAACTGAATGTGAAGGTCACATTATGTTGAACGGAGTACTCCTTTTCATAACAAAATGGTCTGCTTTATAACGATACGGCCAGTAGTGGTACCATTGGGGAAGAGTGATTATTGGGCTGCGCCGCATTCCGACTCGTCTGTCATTGTATTCATTCTAGATTGTTGTACTCATTCTAAATAGATTTCAATGATTGGGTACCAGGAGTGAGGTGTCAGAGGCTCGATGATCCAATTTTTCGGCATCTGACAGGAGAGGATTCTAATAGAGACAGTGTTGTATTGGAGAAATGAATAGGTGTTAGATCATGTCGGAAATTCCGCAGGTCATCTCGTTCTTAACTAAGTTTCAGAGTACTAATGGACGTGAAGATTTGGGTTCAGTTAGAACGAAAGATTGGGGCAAGATAAATTTCTTTTTAGAATTTTCTCCAATCCTTGTCAATCCTTTGGTTCCAAGTGGTACTTATGTTCTAACATGGTGCATAAGTGTCAGCGAAAGCCGAAGAGTTCACCATATTATTTTCTTTTATTATTTTCTGCGCTGACCGCTGGCTTTTGATATGATTTACCAGTCATTGGAGATAAGTTAAAGACGCACTTTGCGCTGGCACTTTTCTGAGGATACACGACAAATTCAAGCAGCAATTCAATTCATTATGTCCATCAGTTCTGCTAACACATCAATCTCGTATTTGGAGCAGAGCGCGAGTGTGGATCACGACTGGCAACTGGATCAGAAATTTGTTCATACTGTAAAGGCTAGGGGGTTTTTGTTTAATGCTTCAGTACAAAAATGATAGAAATTTAGTAGGAAAAATTTTATAAATTTGTTTTATTGCTATCTTTTTTGTTGGAATTCGTAATGCATGAGCTATTAGAAGGATATCGCCTCATGGGCGAAGCACTTCCCCCCAATCTGAAGTTTAACACATTAAAACATAGTCTCGGTGGTGCAGCATAGCATCTGGAAGGCTTATGTCCTGGATACAAAGTGTTTTGCTATAACTGAATATTCTTGCGGTGTCAAAGTTCCAATTCAGAAGAATAGATTATAAGTTGAAATGCTGTGCAAGGTTTGCAGGGTTTACATTGGCTTATGCAGTTTGTTTTAGTTGATTGCATCTCCCAGGCGTGATTAACAGACTGTAAATCATAGTTTGTTATTTAAAGTTGTAACACATTAAAACATAGTCTCGGTGGTGCAGCATAGCATCTGGAAGGCTTATGTCCTGGATACAAAGTGTTTTGCTATAACTGAATATTCTTGCGGTGTCAAAGTTCCAATTCAGAAGAATAGATTATAAGTTGAAACTGGCTGTGCAAGGTTTTGCAGGGTTACAATTTGCTTATGCTTTTGTTTAGTTGATTTGCATCCTCCCAGGCGTGATATCAGACTTAAATCATAAAGACGGTCACTAGTAATGTTGTAGCCTCAGTGCTATAATCTGTTTTGTGTCGCTGTTACTTGTTCACCCTTCGTTGCTTGTTGGAGTTATTGGTTATTTGTTAACTTCGTCCGTTTTGAGAATATTTCGTTTTCAATTCATGTATTTTATTCGATGGAGTTCAAAGGTACTCTCTTTCCAAGCCCTTTTCAAATCACTTTTGGATCAATTTCCTCTTTCGTAATCCCCTAATCACTACCTTACCTTTGTTCTCAATCTGTTCCGCTTATCATCAGATTTACCTGATCTTCGATCACTCTTGACAGCCCATTCATGCGTTGATTCTCTGCGATTGAGCGGTTATTGCTGCCGATAGCAATCATTAGGCGCTAGTGTGGGGGAATCGATGACGAGCAGACAGTGAAAACTACTAATTCGAACCCTTCTTGTATTCTGCATCCGATTTTGCTCTATCTCTCCATTTACGGTCTCTATCGAAAGTACTGGTACCGAACAGAAGTCATGTGTGTAAGAATCGTGATTATTACGTGTAAAGAGCCATACAAGTCTGGACTGTGGTGGCATGTTTTAGACCATAACCCAATGATAATTGTCGCGGTTGTATACGTTTGTTCTTTGGGGAGATTTATATGCCATTTTATGTGTGAGATCTTTTGCAGACAGCCGATCCTGCCATAAAAGTTGTGCCACCGTGTCGCATTCGGGCACATCCGTCCTCGTCGTCGCAAAGTTCTGTGCCGTACGAGCCGACGCCACCGAACAGCAACAATAGTGGTCATATGCTCGTCGATCCTATTCCAAGGTCATCATTAAAACGGTTTGATTTGCATTCACATGAATTTATGTCGTTGATTGAGTACAGTTATCACTTGTCACTCATTTGCTAGTTTCGATCAATGACCTTAAAATCAAGCCGATGCACGGAGTGTTTATCACGATGGTGTTTCAGGCCTGAGCAAGTGGGTACGGTGATCGGCCTTGCGCATTCTTCGGAAGATTCGCATCTGATCAACAACTTCTCCCCGCCTTTAACTACTTCGAGCAGGTCGTCGGTCGCTCTGGATGCGACACCGCCATTGTCTAGTGGGGGTGGAGCTGTGCTAGTTGTCAAACAAGATCATACACTTAACGGACCTCCATCTGCCAATTTCAATGCCCTTGTTAACGCCGCCGTAGTTCAGGTAGGTTCATGAAGTAAACTTGATTGTGGTACATCTCTTTCACGCACGTTTAATACTTGTTTTAGGCTGCGGAATTGACGAACCATAACAGGTTAGGTGTGGCAACGGGCTATGTGGCGGACGCCAATGGTCATCACGAAGAGAAAATTGTAGTCGAGTCGGCTGTCATCTCTTCCGGTGCTCTAACTCCTGCCACTGCGAAAGTAGCAGCAGGTCAGTATAGCTAATCATTTAATTAGCCCAAGTTCTGTCCTTAGATAGCTGTTTGTTCGGTATCAATTTTAAGCTTGCTTTTCAGTGAAGAGAAGTCGTGAGCCGAAAACGGAGTATCCCGAGAAAGCGAAACGCCCCCGAGCTAACCATCGGACGAAAAGCGAGAAAGCATTACGCGATCTTGTTGGTCCAATCGTCTCCGAAACGGTTTCCGATTTTCATCGGGAAAGAGTTGCTGATCGAACTGTGACCACCGATAGCCGTCGCATGGTTACAACCAACGCTACTCCGTCGACGTCACACGACGTGCCAGTTGTTTCGCAACAGCCGATTGTCACCGGTCAGTTGGTTGCTGCAGATATATTGCTTTGAAAAACTTGCAGATGTTGAATTTTCATTTTCAGCCCAACCTGCCGCTTCCAGTCTGATTGGCACTAGTCCATTAGCTGCTCGACCGCAAGGTAACGTGGGACCATCAAATTCTACCCTTCCATCGTCAATGGAACAGTTGTTGGAGCGGCAGTGGGAACAGGGATCACAATTTCTGATCTCCCAAGCCCAGTTCGACGTTGCTCAATTGCTGTCCTGTCTGCATCAATTGAAATCGGAGAATATTCGTTTGGAAGAACAGCTGGTACAGTTGAATCGACGGCGAGAACATCTCATCGCACTAACTTCACGGTTATCTGTTCCGCTAGGTGGGCATTCCCAGCAGCAACAACAACAGCAGCAACAAGCACAGGCTCAGGCTCAGGCTCAGGCTCAGGCTCAGGCTCAAGCACAGCACCAACACC